AACTAAACTAATACTTTGTACTAGGAACACTTTAAATGTTTTTTAACCCAGTATTTGACCGGGTGACATCATCAATGGACAAATTGAGCTTTTCTTTGTTTTGGCCACCAAACAAGCTAAAAGCTTTATTCTTTTGCAGTCATATCCTACCCAGTATAAAAGTATTTCTGAGGCATCTGTGCAAAGATTACTCATACAATGAGTATGAACAGTTGAAGTGCATAAAGATGTAAAGTTTTGATGCTTTTTGAAATAAGGTAGATTTCTGAATTTACCCAACCTGAGATCTCTGCTCTTTGCTGTAACTCCCCTTTTTTCCATAAGCAAATTACTTGGGGGAGGGATGTTTCTGTGCTAATCTTAAAAAAATACTTCCTCCTATGTAGTCATCTCAACACAGTTTGAATATCCTGACATGCCTCGTGAAACCTTGCTCAAGCTCTTTTTAACAAGTGGCTAGATTTTCCTGCTTGCCCCGACACCTTTCCTAGCTTCCCCAAAGTCAGTTCAGCCACAAAGTCAGCTCAGCCTTCCTCAGGGATGTTGTAATTTTGGGTTTCTGCCCAAGAACCTGCAGATTGTTCCACATGTGGCTTTCTTACAAAACCTGGTGCTTCATGGATTAACCATAATGTAAGGTTAGCTGTTTAAGAAATAGGAAGGCTTTGATCTTTGAGTAGAAATGCAGAGATTAAAAGGCTACTTGAAAAACTAATGAAGATTGATAACACGAAAACTTCGGCAAAGAAGCTGCTTTAAATTAACTCTTTGAAGCCTGAATCTCTCCCTCCCTCCTTCTCTCTCTGTACACATAAGTATCCATTTGGCTGTCCATGTGGAAAAATAACTGATGTCAGATGATGCACTCTGGATATTATGCCAAGTTCCAGTGACAAATCACACAACTATTGAAATGGCCGATTAGAGCACGGGTAAGTGCTTGGGTTGGGCTATATTGCTTCTCTTGTCAGCTGAGAGGTGCCAATTGTGCCTATGATTCATAGTGAGGGCTTTGTGAAGCTGGTGTAGGTGTGCCATTGGAATGCAATGAGGTGCGGGCAAGCCCTGCCTTTCAGCCCTGTGCAGAATGGTAGGAGATAACCAACTCGTATCTTATTTGTTCATAGGGGAAGTTGTGATGTTTTGGAATTCACCCTGGATTTGGTCCACAGAAGACGAACATGCCAAAAAAGTCTCTAGACGTTGTTGAGCTGGGCTATCAGGAGCTGTCACTGTTTGGCAGTTAACTGACAATTTATGTATCATATTCAGTGAGCATAAAAATAGTATTTTGGACAGAGTTGCACATTTGAAGCCAAAAGTGCAAAGTGGGGGGCAAATCTTAAAGCCACTAATGAAAATTTCAAAAAAATACCCAGTTAGGTCAGTGTCAGAACCAATCATAGACCATAGTCTCTAGTCCGAATACTAGACCCAGAGGGGGAAAAAAAACCAACCCAAAATACTTTTTGTGAGCTTTTCTGTTATTTGCAATTTGGAGAAACACTCCTCCAGGCTCGTCCTTCTAGAGCTGGCCAAGACCTGTTCTTCTTAGTTAAGTGCAATGCTCAATTAGAAAGTGATATTATGTGTAGTGTCTTAATGTTATGTTTAATGTCTTGAATAAACTAGAAATTAATGACTTAATCACTGCAGAACATCTCATACTGTCTTGTGAGTGATTTAAAGGACATCATTAAAATGAAATTTTAATTTGATAAATTGGAGAAATGGTCTGAAAGTAACTAGGTAAAATTTCCTAGTGTCAATTGTAAAATACTACAGTTAGGAAGAAGAACTCAAGTGAAAGTAGGAATAAGCACGAGCCTTATTTCCTGCTGTTTTGTTTATATGACTTTTAACTTGTCTGCTGTCAGGAATCAATTCCTAAGTATCAACTTTTGTCTTCTGCTATGGATCCCGGGAGTCTCCCTCAAAAGAAGCGGTCACCTACAAGTGCTGACAACATTTCTCCTTTGAGCATTTCTATGGCATACCATGGAGCACTGCTAAATGAGCTGGATCCTGATATCTGCAAATGGCAAAAATCCTTTTTCAGAGAAACTGCTGTGGAGTGAATGAATAGATGATGCCACATAACAAATTGATTCCCAAGATGATTAAAAACAGAGAGGGTGTATGAGTTGCTTATCTCTTCTGTTGTGGCGGTCAGTGTATTAAGATGAATAACAAAACTACAGTTTTCAGGAGTGTTGGAATCAAGCACATAATGATGAAGAATTTACATGTACAGCAAACTCTGAACAGGAAGAGTAACTGTGAGAAATGCAGAAGAACCTTATCAGATTTTCCTCTCTAAATTTTCTTGCATATTTTTAGCTAACAGTTTTGTTGTTCTGTAATACATTGGAGTTTTCTGGGTAGTTTGCAGTATTTCTCTTCAGGTGAGAAGTGCATTTGATCACTGCTTCTCTCCATGTGAAATACAAGAAATGAAATTCTGGCCCAGATAACTCAGTGAAACCAGGCTGTTGCCTGAAGAGGATGAGTGACTTGATCAACATAATGTTGGAGGTCTGCTAGAGGGCTCGGATTAGAACCCGTATTGTCTGTTTCCCAGTCCCATGTAAATAAAAGTGGGGGGCATTATAAATTTGGCCTGTCTATCATTGTTCTCTTTGAAAAGAATTACTCCTTAAATTTCATAACCCTCATAAATCTTCCCATCTGTCACATACTGGTTTTTTAATTCTGGACTCAGTTAGAGATGACTACTAAGATCCGTGTACTTACAGCTCTTTGACAAAATAGGGAGAGAAGAAAAATAACCAGGACAAACTTTCTAGTTTCTGGCACATTTACAGACTCTGTTCACTTCATGCCTTCTTCTGTCAGTTCCTTTGGCAAAGGGAGTATCTCCCTTCTCCTTTCCCACGTGCTTTCATGCCATAGCAGGTCAGAGTGAATAAAGCGTAATGGAGAAGATGAGAATTATATAAACAGATTTCTACTATGCTATCACAAAGGAATATTTTTTCCTCTGCAATTTGCAAGACTGAAAGTTTGTGAAATTGACAGAATTTTACTACTAGCAATTCTAAAGAGTCATAGTCACATTTATTGTTCTCACTACACACCACTGTCACAGGGTGTCTAAATTTTTTACAGTTATGAGCACATTCAATGATGATACATGGAAAAAATATGGACACGTTTATTTTTTGGAAGTAATTGACCAGAAAAGAATCTCTTGTGAACAAACTCCAGCACTGTAAAACAGGCAGAAGAGAAGCCAGCCAGAATTGAGGAACATGAGAAACAGAAATGCTTTGGATGTAGTATGTT